TAGCATATATCAATAATGAAATTAACTTTTATTTGATAATGAAATAAACTTATACCTTTGAATATTATTATAATAATATTTTAACTTCTTTCTCTAATAAATGAGATTATTTGTATTTTACTGAATGAACCCAAATGACATCAAATATCAATTTATATATCTGTATGTGTGTTTGAATGATGTATATGTGTGTGTTTGTGTATGTGATATATGTATGTATCATCCTTAGTGTACTTTCTTTTACTCCCAGCTTCTTAGAAATATATGTTAATAGGGAGTAAATGAAACTATAAAGAAATCCTCTTAAAAAGCTCTTGCCCATGTGTGTCTTTTTTTTTTCTCTTTCGGTGATGTTTGCATCCGTTTAAAACCATTAGCTAAATCTATTAATTCATTAGGAGTTAGAAAACAGTATAGCCTAGTTCAGCCATTCATTCTTCATTTATTAACTGAGCTACTTCAATAAGAGCAATGCTCCTTCTTTAATTATTTCTTTATTCATAAGCAGTTTATATAGAAAAAGCAAAATAGGGGTGCCTGGGTGGCTCAGTGGGTTGAGTGTCCAATTCTTGATATCAGCTCAGGTCATGATCCCAGGGTCATGGGATCAAGCCCTGTGTGGGGCTGTGTCCTGAGTGGGGAGCCTGCTTCGGATTCTTTCTCCTGCTCATCCACTTTCCTCTGCTCACATGTGTGCATGCATTCTCTATCAAATAAAAAATAAAGAAAAAGCAAAATAAAATGTTTTATTGTTTTCAGATTATTTACCAGCTTTAAAAACTTTGTTATTAAAACTATTTTATTTCTGAGACAGAGAGAGAGAGAGTCAGCATGAGCAGGGGAGGGTAAGAGAGAGAGGGAGACAAAGAATCCGAAGCAGGCTCCAGGCTCTGAGATAGCTGTCAGCACAGAGCTCATTGTGGGGCTCGAACCCACGAACTGTGAGATCATGACCTGAGCTGAAGTCAGATGCTTAACCAACTGAGCCACCCAGGCACCCCTTTTTACCACCTTTTAAAATAACACTTTCCTAGTATTCTGTGAAAGTTGTCAGTAGGTATATTTTATCATTATGAATGTATGGATTTGAGCATATTTGAAGTGTTTCAGTCCTATAATAATTACCTTGTATATGATCGGTTAATCCATTTTTGGCCAGTAGAAGCCTATATAAGTTGGTTCTCAAGTCTTTTTGACACAACTCTAGTAAAACATTGATATCTTCCTTGATTTCTGGTATAAGAATTCCAAAACATTACTTATGAAGTAATTTTACAAAAAAAATAAAAATAAATGGAACTTCAGTCTGATCAAGTTACTAAATATATCTACCAATTTAAAGAATATAAGGGGAATGGGGGAGCATGATAACTTACAATTAGAAAAATCTAGAATGTGGAACAAAATAACCTATTTTTTTTAGTAAATTTGATTTCAAGTAATGAAAAAGACAACTGGCCAGGAATTAAGGAAATATATTAAAACCACAATGAGATACCATTATACACCTGTTGGAATGCCTTAAAAAAAAACTGGACAATACCAAGTCCTGCTGAGGATGTGAAGCAACTGGAAAACTGGTCTTCTGCTTATGGAAATTTGAAGCATCTTAGCCATTTTGGAATACAGTTGGATAATTTCTTCAATATATGGATTCTCCATAGACCCAGGAATCCCTGTTTTCCATGGAGAAATGAAAGCATAGGGTCATATAAAAACCTGTACATGAAAGTTTATAGTGGCTTTATTTACAATGCCCCCAACTGAAATAACTCACATTCCCATCAAGTAGGAAATTCTATACAATAGAATACTTTTCAACAATAAAAAGGAACTATTGATATACACGGCAACATAGATGAATCTCAAATGCATTATGCTACAAGAAAGAACCAGTCTTAAATGGCCCCATGCTACACTATTTCATTCATTTGACATTTTGGGAAAGGCAAAATCATAGGGACAGAAGTTAGATTAGTGGTTGCCAGGGACTGGGCTGTGGAAGTGATTTACTATAAAGGATAACAAAGGAAATCTTGGGAGTGATGGAAATATTCTATAGCTTGATTGGAGCAGTGTTTATATGGATGTGGGGGTTGTCACAATTCATAGAAATGTACATTTAGGAAGGGTGAGTTTATTGTAAGTAAATCATACCTCAATAAATCTAACTTAAAAAAAGTTAATGGGATAAAGTGTGGATTAAAAAAAACAAAAGTAGATTGTCAACTGAGTGTAATAAATAGCACTTATTTAGAGCTTAATTTTTCTATTGAAGTAAGTTGATACAAAAGGGATATTAAACACTGCCTGGATATTTGATGACATTAAGGAATTACTACTTATAGTAATGAATTAAGATGCTGTACCTATATTAAGAGGAGTCTTTATCTTAGAAATCTATAAGGAACTTTTTTATGGATGATATTATTGTAATTTTCTTCGAAGAAATCCTGCAGTGGGATAGAATAGATGAAGACATGTAGACGAAGTAAGATTGGCTATAAATTGGTAATTCTGGAATCTGGATGATGAGTACATGAGGGTTCATTTTACTGTTTTCTTTACATTCTAAAGTATGTCTGAGAATTTTCCACAGTAGAATTTAAATAATTGAAGCTTAGTTCTACAAAGGTATGTTTAATAAATTGATTTAAACAGTACTGAAAGAATATTCTTTTTTTCAATTATTTTTTAAATGTTTTTATTTGTGAGAGAGAGAGAGACCATGTGAGCAGGGGAGGATCAGAGAGAGAGGGAGACACAGAACCTGAAGCAGGCTGCAGGCTCTGAGCTGTCAGCACAGAGCCTGACGCGGGGCTCGAACCCACGAATTGTGAGATCATGACCTGAGCTGAGGTCGCTCAACCGACTGAGCCACCCAGGCGCCCCAAGAATATTCTGCCATGAATAATTAGAGTTCCTCCCAGAAATTGATGTATGGTTTAATGCTTATAAAATAATAAAATACAGTGATTCAAATAAGAAAAAAAAAAACACAGGGGCGCTTGGGTGGCTTAGTCGGTTAAGCGTCCAACTTTCGCTTAGGTCATGATCTCGCGGTTCGTGGGTTCGAGCCCCGCGTCGGGCTCTGTGCTGACTGCCAGCTCAGAGCCTGGAGCTTGTTTCAGTCTGTGACTCCCTCTCTCTCTGACCCTCCCCTGTTCACGCTGTGTCTCTCTCTCTCCTAGAAATAAATAAAACATTTAAAAAAAAAAAAAATAAAAAAAACACAGAATCCTTACAATAAACACCAAATAGCATACCCTCAGTCGAGTTTTTTAAAAATTACTAATAGAAAACTCCAGTTTCTTAACTGTGGAATATAAAACTCATGATGAAATACCAAAGCATTGCTTCTCAGATGCCATGGGCTACTGGCATCTAGGGGACTTGGAGTTAGTAGTTAAAAAAAAAAAAAAGATCTGCTGAATCATGGACCCTACACATTTACTTACTGGAAACACTACAAAGTATCCTCCCCATTTGATCTTTATCTTTCCAGCCTCATATCTGTCCTACAAAAATCCTCACTCCTAGTCCTGACTTCAGCAACTGAAAAATGATTTAGTTAAAACTCAGTAACTTTATTCTGTAAGTAAACCATTTGTTTCTCATCACACCTGATTGATGTGCTCAATCAGCTGCACATTGAGCTCAGATTGTATCTCCTTTGTGAAATTCTCCCATATTTCCCTACCAGCCTTAACATAACTTAATTGCTAGGCTATTATATATAGTCTTCCATTTTAAAATTTAACGGACTATGTTCTAATCATTTGTTAGTATGTCTGTCTTTTGAATAGATATAACTAACTTTAGGTCAGGGAAAAATATGCATCATTTTTATTTTTGCTTTTGCCTCCCTTAGCTGTCAGTATACCTGCACATACAATAATAATATGCTTTAAATATAGTAGGATTACTAAAAATGAGTTGTTTTCATACTCTGCCAATCATATATCAGGGCATTTAATAACATAAAAGAAACTACAAAAGCCTACTTTTTTAAAAAATATTTTTATTTATTTCTAGGAGAGAGACAGCGTGAGCAGGGGAGGGTCAGAGAGAGAGGGAGACACAGAATCTGAAACAGGCTCCAGGCTCTGAGCTGGCTGTCAGCCCGATGCGGGGCTCGAACCCACGAACCTTGAGATCATGACCTAAGCGAAAGTCGGACGCTTAACCGACTAAGCCACCCAGGTGCCCCAACAAAAGCCTACTTTTAATACAGTTTTTCTTTCTTTAAGTAGTGTAAAAAGACTAAATATGAATGTGGTGGGAAAGTGATTATTTCCTTGTTGGTTTGCAAGCTGGTCCCAGTACTCATGCAGGGCCAAGTGAGACTGCAGAAAGAGGCAGACCACTCCAGACTGGTAGGTGGGAGGGTTAATAAGCAAGGGAACTTAGGAGACTTGTCTTGGGCAGCTGCAAGATCTTTGCACCCATGCACCACAATCTTAAAGTTTATATAGATGCTTTAACTGGGTTCAGTCATGAATACCATCCAAGTGGTCTCAACAACATGTTACTCTGTCAAGGCTGTGTCCCTGGAATAGCTCCCACTATGGGAACAGTAGGCAGAGCTTAAAGTTTGAGAATAGGGGAAGGGGGTGAGGGGAGCTGAGGAGGCTACAGTTGCCTGAGTCTAGCTCGAGCGTCAACTAGCAATCACGTCCTCTTGATTACCTCCTTCAACACTTGTCAGTTTTAAAAGCCACTTATTAAAAATAACTGTTAATTCTGTTATTCAGTTATCTGCTTTATTTAGCATTGTTAAACACAAATTACATATTTTGAAAATAAGTTATAACTACTTCATGTATTTTATTGTTACTTATTATATATTAATATTTAGTATACATAGTTAATTTTAAAGTAATGCAACTTACTAAAGCTAATGCAATGAACAATAGTAAAGGTAGTTGACATTAATGATTTAAATAACATATTTTTCTGCATAAATTGAGAAATTCATGGTTTTTTTTATTTAATTCCAGTTGTATTGCTTGATACAACAACTGTGCTGGGAGAGCTAGGATGGAAAACATATCCATTAAATGGGGTAAGTTTAATTATGTTTTTAAAACTTTCGTCCTTACTGGGTTTCTAGGGTCTGCTGTAAGAGTTAAAGGAACAGTGGATTTTGGCTCTAGTTACATAATTTTAGTACATAACTAAAATATCATAGAAAAGATTAAAGTACAATTAGAACTGGTAACCAATGAGAATGATATATAAAAATCTTTGCTTTTTTCATTATTCTTTAATACAGTGCTTATCTATAATAACACTAGACTGTCTTCCATATAAATATTTTTTTCATAGAAAAAATTTTCATTTATAAGTTCAAGACAGTTTTTTGTATATAGGTTTATTAATTTTGGTAACCTCAGTGAGTATTTGTCCATAAACAAACTTTGCATTGTCATAAAAGAAGTGGATTTTATAAATACTAACAATTTGTTTTTTATTAGAAAATATAAGTGTAAAAAGCAGTATGTGTTTTTGAACTTGACAAAAAGAAATATTGTTATTAGGTTTTGTTAGCTGAGAGTAGTTGCTTTTGAAAGGCATGTGTAATTTAAAGATGTATAATTTACACACTAATTTTTCAAGTACTGATATCATTTTAGCTCTGGTTGTATGGACTTTTTATGTGGTTTAATATATTTTGCATCATTTTCACATTGCAATGTATTTCTGCTTCTTTCTTAATTTCAAGTTAAAATAAAAGGGTGGTTTATGAAACTTTTTTCTCTGAGTAAGGAAAATTTATAGTAACAGAGGTAGTCAACTGTTATTCAGGTGTACTTGGGTTAGCTTTTCTTCCTTTTTTTATAAACTGTATTTTTCTCATTCATCAGATTCTTAGTTGATAGTTTTACATTGTTTCTTTCAATTACATCTGCAAGTTTAATTTGAAAGGGAGAGTTAACTGAAAAATGTTTTATTTTTTTAGAATCATTCAAATATTGAAGTTTGAATTTGACCTTTTATACAAATAGTAATTAAATGTGTATTTTTCAAGTATACATTCCTGTAAAGAGTTAATAACTCTGTCTTTGTTCAGCAGGCTTTTTGTGTGCTTAGATTTGTTTGTTTTGTAGACTGATTTTATTTTTTTCTGAAATTTCTGTTTTATTTTCATAGAGCTCTCATCAAACCATTGCTGAAAATATATCTTTGAAATTATATTTGTACATTCATCATCTATTTTTAGTAAACATCTATTTATTAACTGTATTGAACATGTTAAATTTATTACATTTACTTTCAAGGAGTGAATGAAACTTTTTTCTAAAATACCCCTCCAAGATATATACATATCTACAGTCTCAGCTTACAAAGTAATTTATAAGAACTTATAATGCTTAAAAAGTTTATATGAACTACTTTTCCATTTTTTGAAAAAAATGACAAAAAAATTAGTGATTATATTGTTACTCACTTCATGGAGTCCTAGCCAAAAATCCTGTGAGGAACAGAGTTACATCCCTGCTCTCATGATTGTATTTGTCTTGATCAGTCTGTGTTTCAAAGCAAACTGGTAATGAGAAGACACAGGGACTTAGTGAGTTACAAATAAATTTATTGCTATTATTCTTGTAATGATCTTGTCATAGGTGATATGAAAGGGAGATTTTTTTCCTCCTATATCTGGTTTCTTAGTTTGAAAGAGAAAGGGCAGAATTGTCTGAAAAGTATGCTTACCCCATAGTTTTCTATTTGTAGACACTGCACTAAGAATTTTACATTTTATTTCCTTAATAACCCTATGAGGTATATCTGACTTCTGGTTCACAGTTGGAGAAACTTCTTAAAGAGAGTAAAGAACAAAAAATACCAACAAGTTATAGGCTAAATAGTGACTGATGGGATTTATTTCAAACTAAATTATTTCTGACAAAAGCCTATATCTTTATCATGGCACTGGTAAAAGAGAGGAGCATTGGAAACTTCATGAAAGGCCAATTAATAATGCTGATATTTGCATAATTGATTCAGGTTTCTTTTCTCCCCTTGATAAACATAGTACTTGACTGAGATGAACATTTTGGACACTAGCCACAGATTTGCAGGAGGAAAGAGAAAAAGAAGAGAGGAAAGAGACGGTAGTAGAAAATACATATGATAGAATAAGGTGGAAAAAGAAGAAATGGTTAACATTTATTAGGCATTTACCATATGTTAAGCTTTATTCAAAGCAGTTTACTCACCTGAGTCCTAGAAATCAAGAATAATTTTATCCTATTGAAAGATATGGAAATTGAGACTCACATACATTAAATAACCTTTACAAGCTCACAGAGCTAGGTATTAATGCAGTGAAAATTCTAAGTCAAACAGATCCTGATTTTGAACACATATGTGTGCTTCTTATTTCCTTTAAGATTCTACCTTGTAAATATAAAGGCCAGTGACCAATATGTATAAACTACAGAAGGAAAAGTAACACAGGGATTCAGGCATTAACACATAAGTTGAATACTCAATTGTCTTGGAATGTCACTGTTGGGATGATCTATATTACTTTTAGATTATGCCTCAAATAATAATGCATGTATGGCAAGTGAAAGCAGTAGGAATACTTGAAAATGAAAGTATATGGACAGAGTTTATAATAGATACATGAATTAGAGGAAACAAATGTGAATCAAGGGAAACAATAAAATGAATAGATGACTTAAATAAGTTTTATAGAAAACATATAACTTCAATTTCTCTTTTAATGAAGTAGTTACATTACTGACAAGAAAGGAAATTACTTAATTCTCTTTATAGGTAAAAACAAGTAAGGAAATAATCAGGAAAGATGAAGAACTTTGAAAAGGGATACTAAAGATGGCAAGACATCTAGACATCAATAATAGTTAAATAATTTAAAATCCATAGAAACTGCTAATCAGTTTATAACATTTATACTAGCATTTATATCTTTATATTAACATTATCTCTATTTGAAATTATATGGCTTTCTTCAGATTTTCACATTTATTGTGCCATACTAATATGAATGGCCATTTTAACTAAAATTGACTTATTTCAGAGACACCACTTAAGTTGATTTCATAAATATGCCATGGTTAGAAAAGATAGCTAGATGGTAAATTTGGCAATTTTATGATATCAAGTTAATTGGCATTTCTCTGAATGAAGTACTTTCTAGGAGTAACATTTTAATTGATAATTTTTCCTTTTTTTAAAATTTATTTATATTTGAGAGAGAGAGAGAAAAAGTGTGAGCAGGGGAGGGGACAGCGAGAGGGAGACACAGAATCCGAAGCAGGGGCTCTGGGCTCTGAGCTATCAGCATGGCTCGAACACATGAATTGTGAGATCATGACCTGAGTTGGAAGCTTAACTTACTGTGTCACCCTGGAGCCCAGATAAAATTTATTTCTGTAAAAACTTGAACTAAGACATTTGTGAAACTATATAATGTATAAAGTATGTGATTTAATAACTTATTTAATTGATTTTTTTAACTTAAAATAGGCATCCCACCAGTAGCATCACGCTGATGTAGTTGCAGGAGTAGACATTTACAATCTTTGTGAACAAAACCATTACTGGTTATTTGAATACTAGGTAAGCACCTCTGATTAAAGAACGTGGAAGATACATGAGTGAGTAGTTTTGAGCAAATGACTTCTTAGGCTTGAAAAAAATGAAAAGAATATATATGTATATATTTACTGAAATGCTTGCTTGTCGACTCACTTGCACCAACATTTTAAATATATGGTGTCTAGAATTCAATTAAACTTTTTTAAATGTATGTTTATTTTTGAGAGAGAAAAAGAGACAGAGCATGAGGAGGGGAGGGACAGAGAGAGATGGAGACACAGAATCTAAAGCAGGCTCCAGGCACTAAGCTGTCAGCACAGAGAGACCCATGCGGGGCTTGAACCCACAAGCTGTGAGATCATGACCTGAGCTGAAGTTGGATGCCTAACCAACTGAGCCACCTAGGAGCCCCCAGAATTCAACTTAACAAACTTTCATTTTATGCTCTTTGTGCCAAGTATCCTGTTAGAGTGGTTAAAAGCATGCTGACATAACTTGAGGAGTATTGTAGTATAGAGGTAATTCTGCACAATTAAAGGCAAAGAGTGTCTTCAGGTAATTTTGAGTAATGGTTTGTGAAAGAATAATAAAGGGAGGGATTAATTCTGGTCAGAAAAAATTGGAGGCACCTGGCTGGCTCAGTCAGTCAAGTGTCTGACTCTTGATTTCAGCTCAGGTCTTGATCTCACAGTTCATGAGATCGAGCCCCAGATCAGGCTCTACAACTGAGCGTGCAGAGCCTGTTTGGCACTCTCTCTCCCTTTGCCCCTCCCTTCTCACACTCTCTTTTTCTTAAAATAAATACATAAACTTAAAAAAGAGAAAAAAAATTGACAGTAGGATGTGACGTCAGCTCTTTCTCATAAACTGTGAAGGAATCACATAAAGGCTGGACAAGAGGGTGGAAAGCATCTATTAGGCAAAAAATAAATAAGTAAATATCTTGAGAAAAGGCACAGAATTCTCAAATGTATGCATTATGTTATAGGAATGTTGAGAATAATTTGTGTGGTTGGGTGAAGGGTTTTGTGGGAAATGGGACTGTGATGATAAGCTAACCATATTATGGAAAACTTAGAATTTCAGTTTCTTAATTGACTTAGTGTGTATCTCACCCTCAATTAATAGAAGTAAAAGTAAGAATGTTCTGGATTCAGTTAAGTAAACAAAAATTCATAAAGCTTTCTTTTGTTTTAGATAATAATATAGACCCTTGGAAATCAAAGTCAGGTACCTTAGAAAATTGTTAGGAAAGAATGTTCAAAATATAGGCAATGTGACCTTATTGATATATTGAGAACAGAGTGAAATTGAATAATTACACTTGTATATATACTGAAGCTTGGTTTTAGAAAAGAATGATTACATCAGAGATTTTGGTAACCATTGGTTGTAATTCTTAATACTATGCTCTCAGTGCCTAACGTCAAGAATTTTATGTCTATATAATTTAAAAATCTTAAGAACTTTATCCTGTAAGTGTCCGTTCTATCC